CTAGGTTTTCCCTGGTTTTCAACACAATCTTCATGGAGACCTTTCCCCTTTTAGCTCTTTTAACCTCTTCATGGAGACCCTAAAGGCTTGCTGATTCATATTCAGCACTTGTTTGCCTTGAGGATCACCAGAGTGCTCAGCAAACAAAGTTTGTCCCCACTTTGTATCTGAGAGAGAGCTATTCTACTTCCTCTGCTGTGCAAACAAGGAACCTGAGGAAGAAAGCAATTACATGATTCACCATAATTGCACAGTAAGTCAGTTGGTGCTGTCCTAGGGTTACTGCTGATCCCCCTGACTTGTCAGCAGGTTAAAATTAGATTATTTGCTGATCCAGTGAGATTTTTGCCTGTGTAATACAGGAACCTTGTCTTGGGGTATCTCAACTGGATTTCAAGTAGGTTTAAATATCCTTGCTTATAAATTATTCACTGCTTCTAGATTTGTAATATTCCTTTCTTCTACCAGTTCAAATTGAACACACTAGGATGCTTGCATGTGGTGGAGAAACAGGTCTCTGTTTTCTCAATCTGTTTTCTCATGTGTATTAATGCCTTTCATCGAGAAGAAACCACAGCTGCCACAGCTGCTTTATGGAAACGCTGAGGATGACTATGAAACACTTGTCTGGTTGGCAGTTAACGTGGGTTTGTCAAGCATTGTTCATCTGAGAAGCATCTGCTGGGAGAAGGTTGTACATTGACCTTTCAAGATCTCATTATTGCTTTGCATTGTCTGAAAAACGGATAGACAGACAGACAGATAGAGACAGATAGAGCGAGCGAGCTTAGGAAGCAGCTGCAACATGTGGCAAAACTACTAGATCTCTCCTTCCAGATTTCCTGTGGAACCTTACTAGGCATTTCTGGTAACCAGGTTATGGGGTGGATTGTTTGTGGTGTGATGGAGTCTCCATTTCCCCCTCATTCTGCAGGATAAACACACCTGTTACAGGGACAAGAAGAGGCAACAGGCAAGAGCTCTACCTTTTTTTGGTAGCTGCTTTGTACATTTAGAAGAAGTCTTGCTCTGAGAAGTTTATTTTTTGTGTGTGGATATGCATTATGAATTTAGAAATCTTGTAGTACAGCTTGTAGGATAATTGTAAACCCAACAAAAACATCGGGAGCTTCCTCTTAGATTTTAATTTGGCAAGGGGATAATAACTTGCATTGGAAAAAGCACATGAGAAAACTGTCTCACTCTGTTTAATCTTTTGCAAAAAAATTACTAAGATTCAGTGAGATGTTTGTGTGCCTAGAGAGACATTGATCCTGCTTAGGTGTACAAAAACAGCCCAAAAAATGTGTTTCTTGTAAAGATAACTGCAGAGAACCCGATCATATCTGACTTAGTTGTTGCTACCTAAATTAAATTAAAAAATAATTTCAGAATGCAGCAAAATTAATGTGCAAAGTAATGTATGATGAAAGAGCATTAAACAATCAAAAATTCAGCTCAACTTTGCTGTGATTTAACATGAGAAACAGAACGTGCAAATAATTACTTTTATCTATTTTTGCTGTCAGCTTGCTGTAGTTCACTACTGGCATCCTCTGTGAGACGAGTTTCACATCTGAGTCTAGAAAAGCCATGGAAAGACCAACATCTTTCACTTTTCGAATGATGTGAGTTACACAAGACTCATGATTATCCAAAGGTCACATGACAAGATCTCTTCTCTCAACAAAGAGGCTTCTATGCTCTGCTCTGGTGAAGCAGCTGTTGACTCAGATTTCAGCTTATTCAGACACAATATGTGCTCTAGACAGATTCTCAGGCTACATAAATTAGTGTCTCAACTTGTTATCATTTGCCCCCATCATTTTTTCTCTCCTATTATCTTCTTTATAAAGTTAAATCCTTTGTGTTCAACCACAAGTGTCTGCTACAATACACATAAGATCTGTTCTCAGGTTAGGGCTGTTACAAACCCTTTCCAGAGCTACTTGGTTCACACAGGGGAATTTTTTTTCCCTAGCTCACTCAACTGAATGGACTAAAATATTTTGCTGACTCCTTGCAAAGCATTGGAAGCTGAAGGTTTTAACCTGAAAAGTGCAAGGTGGTATCTCCAACCTATGTTTATCTATGAACTTCTGAAACTGCATTACAGCTGTAAGAAGGTGTCAGTCCAGATAGAATTTCCTGTGCCAAATAAACCCTCTCCTTGGTAAAGTTACCTTTTAAGAGCCAAATCCTCAATAAATCAAAGTCATTAATTTTACACGTGACCATCAACAGCCTCAAAACCAGCAGCTGCAATACCTCCCTGTAGGCATGTCCCACATGCTCCCACCTGACCCAAAGTAGCACTGACATTACCTCACAATGACTGATGTGCTCTGAACCCTCACAGGGTCTGAGAGACAGACTTGACCAAGAAATCCCTCTTGCAATTCAGTGTCCTCAGTGTGTTCCAATGACATCCAGCTTGCAGCTGGTCACTGCAAGGCACAAATCACTAAGCCAGTATTAAACTTCTTGAAAATTAGTATTTTTAACAGATTTAAGCCTTTGAGGCTGGTCTTAGCTCTTTGCTCTGGCCTGAGTGTGTAGAGAGGGGGCTGCATGACCATCTGCTTCTGAGCTCCTGCATTAGTCCAGAGCGGGGAACAAAGCTGGGTGCCAAGGTGGTCATTGACAGGGGACGAGAAGAAAAGAGACAAAAGCCAGAGGAGCAGACAAGAAGGTGGGTTAGTATTTAAAAGAGCATTTTAGCTCTGAACAAGTGGGGATTTGTGGGAGGACTCGGAGGAGTGGGAGAGTTTCACCCCTGATTTTGGAGCAGCATTTCCAGGCAGGCCTTTTCCTCCAGCATGAGCAGTAAGACTGAAATCAGGTCCTGTCAGAAAACTCCAGCCTTTCCAGCCTGCTGGAGTTTCTTGCTGTATGCTGAACCCAGAGCTCCTCCTGGAGGTCTGCAGAGTCCCAGCCCTGGCGCTGATGGAGCTCACCACTGCTGCTGGGCAGCAGCCACACCAGGCGCTCCAAAACCCTGTATACACACAGGGTACAGACAATACGTAGGTATGGGGTAATATAACAACCCTACACATGCATCTGCAGTCCCAGCTGAGTTTAGTTTGTTCAGCATCTGCACCAATGTCCCTTTAGTAAGCTGAGTACAAAAGTAAAGCTATCTGGATAGATTTATAATTTAAGTGTATCTGAGCACTCACTTTACTCCTAAAGTGCAAGTTTAATTTTTTGAGGAAATGGTGCTAAACTCGGGGTGGAGTTGTAAATCCTGTTTGAACCCATAAAACACTTCTTGCCCTATAAAACTTATATAGTGAAACTGATGTCACAACAATGGGAATGGGAGGTACTGACACTTATCACCTCCATGGGAGCAGGCCACCAGCTCAGAAAACTGGCCTATTTGATTAAATTCAGGTCTAATCACAGCTCCTCAACTCGCCTTTCAATCCTAGCAGAGTTGGATGCCTGCCCTTTGAGAAAGTCAGCTGAAGGGTACCTACACTGCCCTGCTGCCCTGAAAACAGCCTGGGTAGCAGGGGCTGCTGAGACAGCACAGACTGTAAGGGGCTGCCTAATTGTCAAGCTCAAACTCCCCAGGATGGCATTTGCCCAAAGTTTATCTTGGTAAAGAGGAATTTGACACTCAGTTGTACAAAACAGCAACCAGGGAATTATCAGAAGACTTCTAGTTGCAGGGGGAAAAGTCAGCTAGCATACATACAACCAAAATACAAAACCACAAGTGTAGTGTGCAGGACTACACACTACAAGGAGGGGAGCAGGGCAGCAGAGAGGCCCATGTGACCTTGCCAGACACAGTCATCTTAGGTATACAAGGTTGTTCAGAAATTTCTAGGCACATATTAGCATTTCATAACTATATAATCTAGTTTGATCTGCAGATGTTGATCCTAGGAGTGTAGTCCAGTGGTGACCAGGTAATTAATTACATGCTGATAACAAAACAAACCATTTAAACTATGATCAAGGTCACATAAGCAGCTATATTTTTCCTACAATATTCACCTGACTCAACAGTGCTATGAAGGTGAGTCTTGCCACAGCCTCTGCAATGGGGACAGGTGTGAGAAAACATGACAGCTACCTGAAATTATACTAGTAGTAATTCTCAAGATGAATTGCTAAATAATTTTTCAGACTAAATTTTTTTTCTAAAAAAATGACATAATTAAAATAATATAAGCCCTACATCATGGAAGACAGTGAGATTTTCTAAATATTCCCCCTGCACACTCATCCTGTTCTTCTACCCCTCCACAGCTGTAGACATAGACAGAAGTGCTCACACCACAGCAATTCCTTGGCATTTTGTGACAAAGCCCTTAGGACTCACAAAGAGGAAAAGAGAAGCTGCCCCAGCAATTGAAACCTTTCCACAACAGGTGGTGGTCCTAAATCACTGCTCCAGCATTTCATACATACATGTAAATATATGTGTGTGTACACTATAGGTGAGACACTATACACACACACAGACTTTAAATAGATTCTAGTAAGATTAATGAAAAAAATGCCTTTTGTATTTGTCGCACTTCAGTCTTGCCTATCATATATTTTTCTTTTTCATTTTTAAAAGACCTGATCATTCTGCCTTTCAAATAAGGCCTGAAAAACACTGAAACAATTTCAGAAACAATAATAAGATCTTCAGGTCAGAGGGGAGGAGAGGGAGGTATTTTGGATATATTAAATTAAAATAATTTCTTGCACAGTGGTTAAGTGTGAAGGAATGCAGCCCAAACACCACAGTTTACATTGGGGTGGGTTTTTTTTTTTTTTTTTTTTTTTTTTTGTTGTTGTTTTTTTTAAACCAAATCAACTTCAAAGAATTCTTGAATTCTAACTGGCTGCTGAAAGATTAATACAACAAAAAATGTTTCAAAATATTCTCACATCCTTTGAAAGAGCACTATATCCTAATGACAGTGTAAGGAGGGTATTTACAATTTTGCCTGATGGGAAAAGAAATTTAATAAAATCATGTAACACAAACATGACACCAAAATATTTATTTACAGTGTGTATATATATATACATACATTAATTGGTTTTACTTTTATTACTTTCTTTTCTCCTTTTTAAAGTTATCCAGGTTAAAAGTGTCTAAGCCTGTTATGAGAAACAAATAATCTCAGAATAAATAAACAACAAGAAAGGAAGTCAGTTATAGTACACCATCTGCTGCAACAGTCCTCCTGTAAAATATGTTCCAGTTAGCAGGGTACATTTACAATAACACATTGACACTATTCACTCTCAACTGCTTACATACTAAACAAATACCATCTTGGCATGAAGAGAGGCATATGTTCAAATACAAAAGGGCCATTTGTCCCACTGTTATCCAAATTTACACAGGAAACAGCCACTCCCTCAGCTGAATTAAATCCCTACAACCCCTTTTCCCTTGAAGAAAACTGTTGTCAAAAAAAAAAAAAAAAACCAAAACAAACACTCCAGTTACGGAGGTCCATGGTGTATTTTCATTTCTGTGTATCACTACAGTGCTTCTGAGTATAATTTCACCAACCAACATCCTGGCTTATGAACTGGTACATGAGTCTGTCTTTCAGGATCACCAGCTACTATACATAAGCTCACCTGAATATTCATTTTCATTTCCTCACCTTTCAAAAGTTTTGTTTTTAAAGTGCTTGGTATGAACATTAATAAGCTGAAAACACCTGAAACTTCTTCAGGATCAGCATTTGGCCAAAACATTGCTGGAGGGCAGCAGTCAAACACTGGTTTGCAAAGAAGAAGATCTCTACAGGAATATTTTGTCTCCAGTGAGGGGTGTTCACATGCAAAGTTCTTATTCAAAAACAGTAGGCCCACATTTTCCAAGGCAGACTGAAAGTCATTTTAGTTTCAAAATAGAAACTTAGAGACCCATTAGGTTGTAGAGCACTTTGAATATGCGAAGTGCTACCTACATAAGAGCTAAGCATTCTTAAACTACTAATTCAACCAAGAACAGAGGCTGGAAGCCAGCTTTTCCAAACTAACTACGGGATTGTGTTGGCATGGCCTCATATTTAGAAATACCAGAAGTGTCCACAAAGACACTGCCAGCCTTGCACAGTCATACACCCAGTGTGTGCTGATATGTTCTGTACACAATTCTGAGACCTGCATAAACTGCACACCTTGAACACAGGACTCAGCCAGAAGGATTAGCAAATGGATATGAAATAACTTTGAATATTTTACTAAGTATTCTGCTTTCAGCTAGCATTCTCATGCTGAATTTCAGCAAGCATTAAAACCAAGTAGCATTTTGTTAGTATTTGGTTTCCTACTCTTTGAGAGTTCAAAATGTATTTTTAAATTTAAGGCAGTTCTGTCCTCTTTTTTTTCCTTCTGTTTTATTTTGTATTTAAAACAAAAACTAAATAATTCCAGACTTTCTCTACTCTGAACAAAAAGGGAACATATTCTTGGTACCTCCAAATTTTAGGACAGAATTAACACACACAGTTTTTTCCAGTAAGAAAATTATCCAAAGTGGCAAGGCTTGATTCAACTCTCATACAGATACAATCCAAAAGCAATTTCTCCACAGAGAATGGAAGTCCTGAAAAAGTCAAACTCTCCAAAGGGTTTATACATTTTGGGTTACATCCATAGGGTTCAACTTGAAAGGCTCTGAGCAGACCATGTCTAGAAACACATTATATACTTAACCTAAAATCCATTAAGCTGAAGGCTATTGAAGCCTGTTGAAGCTGAACACCCAGCAAATCACAGGGTAAAGCCTGCAGGAGAATGAGTCAGTCTTCTGTGGCTGAAGACCTACAGAAACCAAGTCCACCACTATTCCCCAGGTGGTTCTGTCATCACTAAATTTAAATTAATTTAAAAACAAGAAATCTAGATAAAGGACTCTGCTTCCTACACCGCTAGGAACTCCACACTGTTCTACTATTTCCTTGTGATTAACAGCAGGCTACTAGCATAGAGCTTAAGATTTATTTAATATTTTGTTAGTACAAAGCAGCCTATTTAATTTTTGGGCTGTATTTGAACAGCAATCTCTCCATATATGTAGTAGTTTAGCATTCAAGAGTGGCATTTTTTCCTTAGGCTAAAATGCTGTTGAACAGTAACACACCAACTTTACAAGTAACCCAGAAGCAGCTCTTAACCAGGGTTTAAAAAGGCCTTGCAAATGCAACACACTGGTATCATTTCCATTCACAAAGTGAGTAAGAGAAAAGAACCAGATGCTCAGAAATTAAAACTATTTTGAAATTGTGTAACTAAAAATGTGTTGCTAATTCCTTCGATGAGGATGAGCGTTGTCATACAAAGTACAGACTCATCCTAGAAAGAGACAAGGTAGTGGAGAAGAAAACAGCAAGGTCAAATCTCTTCTGGATTTTTGACAGGCTGAATGAAAATCACTAGTGTTTGGCAGGAATCTGTAAGAACCTAGACATTTTGCTTTCCTTGATCACTGTAATTCTGTAACCTAGTCAGAAATAGTCCAAAATACAATGCAACTTGACCTATAGAAGTGCATGGGACATTTTGGCCAATTAAAACAAATAACACATCCCACTTAAGTAAGCCTACAGAAGAGCTTCCTCTTAATATCTAGGACACCATAAGTTCCTCCAGGAAGACTGTTTGAATCTTCATGTCCAAATGAATAGTTATTAGTTCTTGGGCTCAAAGAACTTGCAAGTGAGGATACGTATTAAGCTGTTTTGCTAATATTCAAATAGTCTGAACCAAATAATCCTCTAGTTATAGGGCCCTGATGACTTCCTAAACTTTCTCATTTCAAAAATGAATCCTGCTTTGAGCATAAGTGAGGCACATGGGTTTTACAAACCAACAGACATGGTAAGATAGTACCTATTAAAAACTGATACTAATAATAAAACAAATCTCTTGACGAGGCTGAAAAAAAAATGCCTGAAGTTTTAGGCAACTATTTAATTCTTTTGTTTGCTGGTTTTTCAGCTAGTTTTGTAATATGGGAGTAACACTAGTCTCAGCAAGATGTGCCATAAAAAAACCCAGCCTGTATGAAATGCAACCACAGTAAATCAGTGTGGTTATAAAACAGCAGTGCAGCTCCTTACATTCTGCGTTACAGGGTTCAATGTTATAAAAAGACCATGCTCTTATGAAGCCCAGGCAGCCAGTTTCTTCATTTCATCTTCATCTTCTGTTCTTTTCCTGGTCGATGCTGCAGATAAAAAGACAATAACCATCAACCAGTGTAACAGTCAGAACCATTCTATCTGTTAGTATGAGGACTTTTATAGTGCTTTTTTGTTTGAAGATCTCAGACCAATTTACTGAGTAGCAAGCTGAACATGAGTAATGCAGGAATGAAGCTCATAAGACTTGTGGCTATTTTGCCCCATCATTATTTCCTGTAGAACCCTAAAATTCACAATATAGGTCTGACATCATTCCTACTGAAGGACTCACGCAGAAAAAGCATTTAATTTCTAAAGGTTGTCACAGCCAGAAAAGGCCCACAAGAATGCTGTCAGTTCTCTCACCACCATGTAAACAAACAAAAGTGACCTATCCTGGCCAGCTGCACATCCTGCTACCTTTCCAAATAGTGCTGAGAGGTTCTGCACATTCAAGTCTCTGGATGAACTCACCCCATTTTAACAGGTGGTGTCATTTATTAAACAGAGAAAGATATTCCTGAACTTGCTTTGCTCAGGTGACATAAGTTAACTGCTGTGTTCACTGCAACAGCAATTCCCAGCTCTGTATCAGGTACCACACCCACTCTGTACCCAAATCTCCTACCACACATCACCTGCATTCACTAAACCAAAAATTGTCCTCATTTGCTGACCTGCAAACTAGAGGCCCAAAAGCCAAGGTTCAGCCTCAGGCTGCCTCCTCCATCTGTGGGCTGTGCACACCAGGATTGGCATCTCTGCAGCCACCAGTGGAACACTTATTGAGTCCAACACCTGCATGCACCTTTACAGCAGCCAGACTGCTCCCACCTGAGGCAGCTGCAGGGCCAGGGGCCACTGTCTAGAGGGGAACTGCACTTCCACTTCAGGGACTAAGGAGAAGTACGTGGGGGGCCACAGCTGCAGTCCCTCCTCTGCAAGTGTCACAGGTTCCCTGCGTGACTGGGGAAGGTCACTATGCCTCACTTCATTGCAGTTTCCTCATCTTCAAAATCAGGAGGGCAACATGCATCTCCAATTAGAAGCATCATAGATCCATCAACTGGTCTAACTTTGCTGTTGCTGTGTGACAGTAAGCAGAGAGTTTCAGAAAACATAAGCTAGTTTTTCACAGCCTTGAACTATATAATTGTAACCAGCTCATCTTGCCTGAAGCAGCCATACAAATGGATGTAGAAAATTAAAATAGTGAGAAGAACATGGAGATGGTCTGGGTTTAATAAAAATGTCAACTGGCACAGCTGGATCTGGATTGGGAAGACAATGTATGAACAAATCATAAATGGCCACACTGAATTTTCACTGCTTTTCTAAATTATTTTTTTTTTAACTAGCTGTTCTGCAATTGAGTTCAGTAGATGAAGCCACAGCCTCAGCTTGAACATTTTAAACTGCTTCTCAGGATTTAAGTGTCATCTGCCAAAACACATATCACAGGATCTGAGTTGAGCTGGTCTAAGTAACCTGTTCTGTAGCAGAAACCATAAACCACCTGTGTCACATGTGTACTGTCCTTACCATCAAGTATTTATACTCTTTTACTAATTTCAGTAGACAGCAAGTCTTTCAAATGACAGTGAAAAGTGTATTAAAAGTTGACTTCCTCTGGCTGAATTCAAAATGAACAGGGCAGAATTATAGAAAAATAAAACTACAGCTTAATACCAGAAATAAGCCTGTTCAGTACAAAGAAAGCAAAGGAACGAACATATGTCTTTAAATATGTACTTCCCAATGCCTCTTTCATTTCTAATTAAAATACCAGCGGAAAATATCAAACCACTACCCTGCAAAACTGGATTTTTATGATGTAAACATTTGGAATCTAGGTCAGACTCTAACTGAAAGAGACTAAGGATTTAATTGCCAAAAAGAAGGAAAAAAAAAAAAGGCAAAAAAGATCATTCCTCAATGATCTTACTACATTTCAGTAGGAGATTCATCAGTATATGTGCAAGGTCAAGTTCCCCGAGTTTGTCACCCCAAATCTACAGAGAATTTGGTCCTAAATGCTTACACTGGGCAAAATTAAATCCCAACTCTGCTTCTTCTGTTAAGCAGATACAAAAACAGGAAAAGGAATTTATAACATTTTAAAAGTTATAACAGAGTTAAATGCATATCTGAAACCCTCTCTTCCTCTCCCCCTTCTCACAGCATGGTTTAATCATGAGAAATGTAAAATAGCAATCAGGCATTTTACCAGGATGAGAAGGCAACGATGTGGATGGAACACTTGGCAATGTGACATCTCTCATTCCCTTGTTCAGTTCTTCTTGCTCCAGTTCTTCTAATTCTGCCATCAACTCATCCTAAATTCAAGGAAAACATTATTTACAAATTCTGTCAGTGCTTACATGCAAGGGCACATTTAACCACCGTGAAGCAAACTACTACTGAAAAAACAGTTTACACCTGAAAGGACATATCAAGAAACAGCATATTAAATGGGCAATTTTTACTAAGTATAGGCAGTTAAGTAAACCTTAATTGAACACTGAAAATAGGACAATGAGAGTTAGAAACAGGACAAGAAATAAACTTAAAAACAAAACTAACAGCAGTACAATACATGCCAAAAAGGCAAGTATGGGAGTAAAACGCCTCTCTGCTGTCCTCAGGTTTGTTCCAAATCTAGAGCCTGTATTCTTCAATGGATTCAAACTTTAATGTGCCATTTCTCCCATTTTAAAACACCTTCCACTGGTTATAAGGCAGACTGTCATTAAACACTGTTCTTCAGCCCTATCACATAAGTCCAGGATTATATGTGATTTCAAAGCAGCACTGGAATCAAAACTGTCCTCCTGGGTCCTGTTATTCACTCTTGAAACATGCAGCACTCATGGGCTTTTAGGTGCAGAGGCTGATTTGGACAGATGATCTAATCCACTTGTACAATGCTAAAAATAAAAAGGCTGTATGCTTTTTAAAAAAGCAAGGCACTTATTCCTCAGCAGAAGTTTCCCAAAGAAAGGAAGCTACATGATACATGTATGTGAAGAAATGGACCTCTGCCACATTGATAAAATGGTTTAAAAGAAACAATGGGCAAAAACAACTAGAGAGGGGAGGGGTATTGTCAAAAAAGTTGCAAAGTAAGAGCTCTTAGGTACTGAAATGGGCTTTGCCTACACATTTATACTTTGTTTATCACCAATGTAGAAGTTAAAATGATAGTTGCATAGCCACCACAGGACCTTATGCCTGAATTTACTTTCTCATGGTTTTATAATTTAAGGCAAACGTACACTGTGACCACCCAGGGAGAAGGAACTCTTATGTTTCTGTGCCCATCTGGAGCACAAGAAATCACATGCTTCCATGGTCTCCTTACAGCCACGGGACATATGTGAAGAGAAAATGCATCCAAATGCATGGAAAAAACATCCTTCAAAAAAAAATCAATTAAACATTATCCTTCAACACTAACTACCTTATATCCCAGCAATTAAGTAATTGATTCTAGCACTCTTAAGGTGCAGTAGCCTGCAAACCAGGTTTCCCAGTTACTGCCAAGTGCTCTAAGTATTAGGCTCCTATGCAAAAGCTGATACAACGATGTTCCAAGTGACAGGGGCTTATTTCCCAAAGAGGAACAATGCACATCAGCTTCAACTGGTATCCCTTAGAAACTTCCAGCTCAATCTACAACATGCTTACTAAGCCTAGACTCCAAAAAGTTAAGCACTGTTGAAAAGCGAGACACTGTACAGCTGTTTGGGGTGGCAGAATGCTTTTCAAGTGTTTGAAGCACAGGCCAAATCCCATTCCTTGTGCCAGTAATGCCTAAATGTTTCTTGTAAAATTTACATTCAAAGGGGAAATACAAGAAAACAGGTAATGGGAACAAAATACAAAGATTCATTACTATTTTCAACAAATTAGAGCTGTTGAATGAAACTACTTCTTCCTCCCAATCAAGTCAATATGTGCAATATAGCATTTATATCTTTCTTTTTCGTCCATTTGGGAATATAACAAATTAATTGGGAATACAGTGAACAGTTTGAGTATTCAAGACATTCTTCAAATGATTCTTAGTGCTTGGCCATTTTGAAACAAAACTGAAACACAAGACAAAAGTGGTTGTGATATTGAGCTTGACATCCATCTCTGCATTCCAGAGATTACAAGAATTTTGAGTAACCTTGACCCTTGAGTCCTCAACCATGGTTGGATCAGAATTAAGTTATATCCTGTTTAGATGTACAAAATCAAATCTGGGGGCATTGGATGAAAGCTACTGCCACAAATTTTGAGAAGGTCCTAAATGCCTTGTGGGGGTTTCAGAAGAAAAGAGCTTTAGAATGAAACCTTATTGCCTCCAACAGGTATTACTTCCAGCTATCAGATCTACTTTTGTGGTCTGGGCAACAGGGAAAGGACCTGCATCAAAAATGACCTTAAAAAATGGTCTAAATATTCAGAATTATGAACAGTAGCCTGTCCATGACATAGAGACATGCACTTAAGTCAAATGGATGTCTATTTGGAGCAACAAAAAAATTATATGTTTCAGTGTCCACTTGGAGTAGTACAAATTACATGTTTTAGTGACCTTTTTCTGAGGCTCAAATGAGAACAATAACTACAGGAGTGCAGTTAAAAATGCTTTTCTTAAAATTGATACAAAAAAAATATTTTTTATATTTTTGCATTTACAGATTTTTATTTAGTATATTATATATTTTATATATAATGGCTTTATTTAATTTTTATATTTATAAAAAAATTCTACAGTTTTCCTAGATAGAGTGAGCTAGAACCAAGGAATTTCACATTCACACTTCTTGAGAAACAAACCACTGCACAGCAAAATAACTATGGAGTTAAAACTCACAGGCCTGAAGTACTAACCTCGTCAAACTCATCACCAAAGGTGGCTCGGCTTGAGATAGCGTCTGAAATTTCTTGGGCAACATCTTGCTGTTCAGTGATATCTTGCATCAAATCATCAATTTTGTTCAAATCCCTGGCAAGGTAACATAAAAACATTTTTTTAAAGGATGCATCATTCAAATCCTACAGAACACTCACGTGAACAGACTCTGTTTTCTTTTTATGCCCATGACTCTATAAACAGAAGAATTCACAGGGAGTAATTTTCCTCACCTACACCCAGCCCAGCTACTTCCATGTCGGGATTATAACAAAAGTCAAACTGCAGCAGAGTGTCTCTCTCTCTGTGCTCCTCATACCTCTGCCAGCCAGCCACAGCCCAAGGGCAGTTCCCCAGGGTCAGCATCTTCCCAGGCCTTTTGGTACTTAAAGGGGCTTTATAAGAAAGAGGGGGATAAACATTTACATGGCTTGTTGTGGAGGGCAGAGGGTAACAACTTTAATCCAAAAGAGGGTCAATTTAGATTTGATTCAAGGAAGAAGCTTTTTACAATGAGGGTGGTGAAGCACTAGCACAGGTTGCCCAGAAATGGTAGCTATCCCATCACTAGAAACACCCAAGGTCAGGTTGGATGGACTCTGAGCAACCTGATCTGGTTGAAGATGTTCCTATTCACTGCAGGGTGTTTGGACAGGATTATCTTTAAATGTCCCCTTGAACCCAAACTATTCTATGATTTTATGGATCTTTTTTTATGTTAAGGTTTCACCAGAACTGGGGACAACTTAACAGAATTGTACCCCATTTAAAGGTTTCCCCTTATTGTTAACTTCGTTATTGTTTCAGTTCCTGTTTATTTCTCCCAGAACAACCCTTCTGATTTAACTCTGTTTATTCAGGCAGAAAAACATCCCTTGAAACAATATAGGACATATGAAAAAAAAAAGTAATTTTTTTTTTTTTGGGGGGGGGGGCGGTGGGTTGGGAAAGGGAGTGCATTTAATCCGTACTTTCAATCCCACAGTCCAGTTTATGGATTCTAGGAAAAGAGTCCACCTAATTTCTATGACTAGATTTTCTTCTAGACAAACCAAGGGCAGAGGCCACACTCCACTGCCAAGACAGACTGAAAAAAACAGATCTCACCAGTTAAGTGAACTTCCTTCTAGATTTATTGTTAGGAAAAGATATTTTTCTGCCAAATATAACACTATAACACTAATAGCATTCCTGGCATTCAATGCCCAAACCAAAAATGAAGTCAAAACTATCTAACTTGATACAACAGTCTATAGTAGTGGAATAATTTGAAAGTGGTTAGGAAGTTCAACTTGGAAGCTACTAGAAAACACTTACATATTTTCATGTACTTTTTTCATAGCTTGTGCAGCATAACCCATATTCTTGAGCACTTCTGTGTTGGTGTGGGAATTTTCCAGTGCCTCCCTCTGGAACTCAATGGTTGAAAGTGTCCCATCAATTTGATTCAACTGTTTCTCATATCTCTTTTTTCTCTTCAGCGCTTGTAAGGCAGCTGGAATGAGAAGAGGCAAAGTGCATTGTGTGTTTTCATAGCAAATGCAAGGACAAGTAGTTCAGCACCAAGCTGACCTGCAGAATTTATAATTCTCACCCTCCTACCTTACTATGAGGGAGACAAACTTTGACCACACCAGATCGGCAGCCTGTTAATCACCAACAGACTGTTGCATGAACATCCTGGGAAGCCTCTTTTAGATTAACTCCTCCTAGCACCACAAGAAAAAGCAGCTTCTTCCTCCACTGTGGGAGATCTTGAACTCCGTCCTGTGCACACAGGCAAAGCAGGGAAGATGGGAAGGAAAAAGAAAAACATCAGAGAGAAGTCAGAAGGGAGGAATCAGAAGAGAGAATAAAAGAATAAGCTGCAAAATGTAAGTAAAACCTAAGGAAGACAGTGTAAGAACTGTCATGATAACCACAACTCCACCAATGGCGCTTTATAAACTTTGTCTCAGCAGCAGTAATTGTGAAGTGCAATGAAGGGCCCAAATGGCCCAGCTAGGCAGATGGGTTAGACCAGAGAAGGATTTGCATTTCTCCAGCTTTTAGCTCATCCATTCTTAACAATCACTTAGGAACATGATCTTTAAATCATAGAATTTAAAAACATAAATAACTTTGTAGACACAGACACAGTCAAATCCAGCTACACCCCATTATCTTTGTAAATTAGTTGAGATTAGCTTTTTATATTCATTAAATTATGAGCAGCATACTCTGCCCAAAGTAAATCATTACCAGAATAAATGCATGTGACAAGCATGAGGAGAAGAGAACTTTCTCTTGGCCTCAGGGTGTGGAACACACACAATTTTGCCACAAGCATTTCCTGATAACAGTCCTTTCCAAACTACATATGCCAGGCTAAAAAACCAAACAAAACAAGAGACTGAGTTAACCCATTGTTTGGTTTCTTTCAATGCTATTAGCACCCCCATTCCTTCCCTTTTCTCCTACATTTAATCTTAAAAAAAATTCATAACCTACAAGCCCCTGTGGGCTGTGGCCTCCCCAAACTCAACCAACAGCAGCAGCTACTGCTGCGATCCTGTTAAAATTGCCCACACACAGTAACACTGAACCTTGACACTGGGGTACACAACTTTTCAAATGAGATTAGGATTCCCCCAAGGAGGGCACAAAGAGTTATGGTGCGTAACAGCACGCTAAAAATATCAATGCTTTGTTGACAAATGCTTGAATCAACATGATCAAAATTGCTTCCACAGGCATTCACACAGGCTAAGATGCCTTCCACCACCGGCAGTGAGATGTTTCAGGACAGCAAACCACAATCCCAACATATTAATCACAACATTCAAATCCAAGATTTTCCAAGGTTTTGGGAGATGGTTCAAAGAGCATGCATATTCTGAAGTTGTGCAAACACCAGATGATGTCATGCAAATGGCAAATGTAAGAACTGTAAAATTCTCACTGGCAATTCTGAAATACTTAATTTTTATTTAATCCCAAACAATGCTTACCTACTTATTATTTCCTTACTTATTTATGCTTAGTATTGGTAGAATTAAGACACCAGCCACTTCCTTTCTTAGCTTCCACTGGATCGAATTTGATCGTGGATTCTTAGGTTAGGAAGCTAGAAGTTCCAGACAAAGGTAACAGTCTGAAACTGCGTAACAACAGCTGGGCCAGAGAGGACTCTGAAGCCCTGTGGACTGAGGAGCGCTCAGCTGGAGCAAGCATCTACCATGGGACAGACTTTATAGTCAGTGCTCTTCAGAAATGGGACTCTGCAACGGTGCTGTTATTGTTGGCTGCTCACAAAGAAAATGGATTTCCTCAGTTACACACAAAGCAGTTGTTTTAAAAATCCTGAAGATCATTTCATTAAACCACACCCAAATCAAGAAAACACAGCAGAAGCTAAACTCTCTGCGACCTCAGCTATTCATAAGTAGCTTTTCCTAATTAATGTGGTACAAGATATTATCTTCCTTCTCTTTAGTTTTACCAGTCACTTACAGGATAAATCAGCCCATAGGAAATAAATTCATATTCCTTCCTTATCAACCAAAGCATTATAAATTCTCACACCACACTATATGATTTTCCTGATTTGTGTTAAATGAATGCTCTTTATTGCAGAGTATTTTGCTACAGGAGCTCCTATCACTAATTTATGAGAATTTCCTTGTTATTTGAAATCTATTTTCCTGTGTTTTACAAAGTACCTAGAATTTTAGTGCTTTTCTACTGCATATTACAAGCATTTTTAAATTTGTGTGCAAGTCTTACAGGACTGAAATGCTTCTGCGTTATAATGCTATCACATTGTAATTACCAAACTGGAGAAGAAAGTATCTATTAAAATATAATTAAATAGAGCAGAGAAGACAAACTCACTTCACTGAAGGTCTAAGAATGGCACTGAAAAATGGTGTTCCCCATTCCAAAGATCTCAAAGAAAGAAGACAGACTGGGGAGGATGAGTTTGAGCAGAGGTGGAGTCTGAGGAAGAAGTGTAATTAACACCAATTCATTCAGGAAGAGGTGGAGGGCTTCTCCAGGAAAAAAACACAAAAGCAGTCTCATACACTTTTTCTTTTGTGCTCCAAAAAAGCCAATTCAACTCTTGAAATTTTTAATGTCAGCACTTGGCTGGGCTTTAGTACATTTCCTGTACTCCTGAATCCAGTAAGCAGGATACAGCTCATAGATTAGGAACCACTGCTTTTAATATGAGTTTTTATTTTATAGTCATAAGGTGTCTGGTACAAAAGAAGACTATGTCAGTTTAAGTTTGCATATTAATGAACTCCTTTTATACAGAAGGGCACTTTTCCAATATTGCTACAATGCTGACACTTTAGTAAGGAAGCATTAATGGCCACCCTGGCAATAAGAATCCTGGCCACATTGAAAATCCAGATTTCAAAAGGAAAAGCAGAAGTAATTGCATAGGAAGAGCTGTGCACCCTTCTCATGGTTTCATGACAGATCAGACTGAAAAGTAACAGTGCAGTAATACCACCTTTACCTGTCAAGCCTACTGCCAACACCCATTGGTACAGAAAGCACCAACGATATCATCTTCTCAAGCAGAAATAAAAGAGTTGTCTAATAATCCTTATAATGATGAAACTACTGAAGTAGGAAAACGGTGTTTCTTCTGATGATGTAACAGGATTGTGGAAATACCAGGTCTCACTCTTGGATACAGCTCACAAAATTCCACCTCAGGTCTGCAAGGGATTCATGGACTGCAGCTTCTGATCTCCCTCACTCCAGGGACAACAGAGGGCAATGCTGCTGAGGCCATAAAAATCATAGGACCCTAATTAGGCTCACTGTCAGCATTCACAGTCCTTAAAGCCTTGTGGAGGAAGCCACATGCAGCTACAGCTGGGAAGCTAAATCAAGAATAATAATGAGCTGGACCAGCAAGACACTTGAAATGTGATCATGAAAGTCAGAGAACAATCACTGTAACTCACAGAGCAAAGACACACCAAGGGCTTTTCTTTATGTCCCCACCAGAAACCCTCACTCCCAACCTGTCCCACAGCCTGCCGCAGGCGTGACTGTCCTGTCCAGCATAACACATAAATACCACATCATTGTTTGGCTTCCACAGCCTCCTGGTTACACCCAACTCACTGAAAAGGAATGCTACACAGCTACATGTGCCCTGCCCAAATATAACACACGTTTAGCAGCATCTACTTGTGAAACCCTCCCTGTTTTTCCCACTTTCTTCATAGGTTTTGTCCTCAGTAGTACTATGTGGTTCTTTATAGTTCAGATTTAATCCTGTTCTGGATGGCTTCATTTTATTGTTTTTATTAAGTTTTTTTTTATATTTTTAGGATCTGTGAAGGACATTGGGCTGAAACAACACACATCTATGTGTATGTTATTTTCACAATTACAGGCATGCTTCAGAAAACACATTTCCTTTTAAACAAAGTTCTCAAATATTCAGTATCACTTCTTGTTCTTTATATTTTCTTCTATGTCCTTTAAAATAATGGATAAGAAAAGCCAACATGCAGATGGAGTTGGCAGCTATGCACTGGCTTATACTGAGAAACCCCCAAGAAGTACAGCAAGAGATTTTAAAAGAGTTTGTTCCTGGAGTGGAGAGACATTAGAATTCAGTGCTAACAGTGAAAAAAATATTGCTTCTCATGACAAAACTTCTTTCAGCAAACAAACAAACCTTGAAGTGGTCTAGCTACAATCAAATATTAATGGAGAATGCTGAAAATGCATCCCATCAAAAGTATAGCTAATTTCAGATTAGGTACAGAAACTGCAGAGATACTCCATAAAGGAAAAGCCAGGACTATTTCAGTGATGTTTCACATCTATGGCATAGCTAATGCATTACAGCTTTTAAATCAAGTTAAGCCTACTGATGTCACATGAAACCCATTCAAGAGTCATACAAAGTCATGTGAAATTGCTGGTGCTTGAATCTGCTCTCTCTTGTGTTGGTGCAACTGACTCAGACTCATGCACCTAAAAATCAAGTGAGATCATGCTAATTTGTTGTATTTTCTATCCCTAGCTACATCTTGCTCCAGTTGCTGACAGCTCCATTTTAGTTTCCATAGGCCTCTATACAGATGCAATGAAGAAAAAAGAACCTACATTGAAAATAAGCAGTGACATCCTACCGAAACACTCACTTCAACAAGGCAGTGTAGATTAAAACCTTTATTCTCTCATTTGCATGTGTGTTTACATATTACAATAGATGGTGGTTAGCACAGATTTTCTCTGAGCTATACAGTACTACACACTAGCTAATATGATGTCAATGTAAATCAACTGTAATTAAACTGTAAAGCAATTGACATATCAAATGAAGACATTATTGGGGATTTAAGTTCACTAAGTATCCTGCTAAATTTAAGCACTTTGGCACTGCAAGGTTATATTTTAAACAATGTATGGTTCATATTGTTTCTCCTCTGACGGTACTTAGGTTATCCCATTTTGGTTTTAGAACCATTTTTGGCATGAGTAAGAACTGCTCCACTGTAGTTTTAGCCCTACTCTTGCCTCTTTATTGTTTTTAACTGTTCCTCCCTAAGCAAATGACAAAATAAAAGCTATTTTAACCACAATCAGCTCAACACTACAGTTTGCAATACGACTCCATGAACAATTTAATACATAAAAAACTAGGGCAATTTCATATTGAGCACTGCAGTGGAAGCAACGATCTGGGAGAAAAACTTCAGATATCAAATGCTGCATGCCTGAAGCAAAAGGCCAGCACAGACCTGAAACCACCATCAACCAGCTGAGTTAAAGATGAAGCAGATCCACCTTTCCCCAACAAATTCTCATTCCTGACTGTGCCCCTCTCTCTCTTTCACAGGTGCACAAGCACTCATGTAGCTACCAGCTCAACTGGATAAGTGGAACTTAAACCTGGGTAAAAAGAATAACCCAGACAAAGAAAATCACAGTATTTTAAAATATCCAGCTTTCTGAAACACACCCTTCAGAGAACTCTGCTAAGGGAAAGGAAGGGAGCAGCATAAGGGCAGGAGCGAGGCAGGAAATGCTTCTTTCTGCAAATGTGCCAGTTTATATTTCAGGTTTGGGATGAAGTTTCAGAACAGCCTGTCTGGATTTAACCAGGAATTGCTACAGTCATTGGAACCAACCTATTTGCTTGTACCAGCCCTGCAGCTCAGGCTTTTGCACAATGAATTCAGTCCCAGGAGCCACCTGGTCACTTTGTTCCATAGCAAATTAGCTTCCAGCTGGATCACCTTCCTGAACTAGCTCACTGTGACAGTACAGAGGTGCCAGTACCTGGACAAGGGACCAAGAGACACTCCAGCTGAAGCCAGAGGAATAGAAAGTGTGAGAATGGGACAACTGTGACAGCCCCCATCTTCTTGAGCACCAGTCACAGTTGAGCACTCAACTGAGTTTACTCCCTCAACTGTGCCTTCAAATCTGTCCCATCTTGACCCACAATTTTAAATCAATTTTAACTAAAAGTTAGTTTAGTTAAACTGCCTTTTGCTAATAATTATTAAGTGCTAAAGTATTACAAACACACTAGAGGGCAGGACACCTCTAACACAAGTTCAAAGTTACAAGGCATTATTTTATAAATTACTGAGTAACAGAACAAGCAGGCAAAAGACCTACTTTCTTGTCACATTACAAATCTTTAATTCAAAATATTCTTCTTCTGTTATTAAGCATTTAAATTAAAAGACAGCTCGGCAAACAGGCCTCCATGCGACTTCAGGAAATAATTAACTTGTTTCTCTGAGGCCAGTATATCCCCAAGACACTGACTACCATCATTTGCTTCCCAGGGGTGACAACATCAGTATACACAGAAGCCAGACCTTAGCATCCTCTCCTTTGTAGCTAACAGTAGTCACAAATGCTCTGAGCTATCATTCTTTTTTCAGTTTCACATATACTTCCTACATTATTTGGACAAATCATTGCATCACTTTGTTGCTCAGTTGTCAGCAATGGGGATAATGTGCATTGATTTGTGAATATACAGGAGATCTGCATATCCTTCATATCGTTCGCCAGCTGCCCAGCCAATGCTGAGCCCCCAAAGAGCAGCAGTACTTTGCCCTCCAGCCAGTGTATCCAGGCAGTACCTGCATCGACTGTGGTGCAAAGCAGGAACAGGAGAATCGCACAGGAAACTACAGACAGTAAATTTGTGAGGAATAACGATTTCCCATCCCGCTAGATGAATCCACAGTTCATTAAACACTAATCGATGCCAAAACCACCATCCCGCCTCGCGTGTGGTGATACTCGCTCGGAGCCCACAGCCGACCCACACTGCACACCTGCGGGGCCAGGGGACCCGGCCCAGCCACAGCCCCGGCGAGACCCGAGCGCCCCTCGCACCCAGGGCGCTCCGGGCTTTAATCGTGCGGGGCCCGGCCCGCACTCACCTCGCTTGTTCTTGGTGCCGTGCTGCCGCGCTAGCGCCAGCTCCCGCTCGATCCGCGTCTCCAGGTACTCCTGCTTCTTGCTGAGCATCTCCTCCGTCTCTCGCAGCCGGGCCAGCGCCTCCTGCGGCGAGGGACCCCCGCGGCCCTTGGAGGCGGCCGAGCCGCCCCCCTTGAAGAACTTGGAGATCTTGCTCATGGCGGCGACCCCAGCTCGGCGCCCGCCGGCAGAAAGGTCTGGCGAGCCCGGTCCTCAGGAGCCTCCGCGCCCGGCACACGCCGTGACAGCACTTCCTGAGCCCACGGGCGGCGGCGGCGGCGGCAGCGCACCTGGCGGCGGGGCGGGCCCGGGGGCGGCTCCGCGGAGGCCGAGCCGCCGCTCCCTCACCAGCGCCGGGCAGCGCGGCGGGAGGAGCCGGCGAGCTCCGCGGGACAGCCGCAGGTCCCGGGCCGGGCCGGCGCTGCGGAGGGGACTACGAGTTTATGCTTTCCCCCTAATTTTTTTCCCATCACAGAATCTCAGAATGCACAGTGGGTCATCCTCCCTCCTCACGCAGGGTGATCCTAGAGCACATGGCACAGGATTGCTGCATCCGGGCGGCTCAGTATCTCCCAGAGAGAGAGACTGCGCAACCTCTTCCATTGCGTGGTCACTCACACAATAAAAAAGTTCTTCCTCGTATTCAGGTGGAAAATCCTGTGCCATCAGTTTCTGCCTGTTGCCTCGTCCTATTGCTTGGCACCACGGAGAAGAACCTCGCCCCAGCCTCTTGGCACCACCCGTAAGAAGCTTATATACATTGCTGATGTCCCCTCTCAGTCGTTTCTTTCACGGCTGAAGAGGCTCAATTCTCTCAGTCTTTCCTTCGAAGGAAGTAATTGGAGACATGCCGCAGGAAGGTGTTTTGGGAGGGCATCACCCTCGGGCACAGGTGTGCACGCGAGTCAGGGCTGGGAAAATAACACTGAATTCTGAAAGAATATGGCTTTTTACAAAAGTGAGGGGTGCGCCGCTAAGAAAACCTCAGTGGCACCAACAGGTTTCAGGGTGCACGAAGTGCTTCGAGAAGTCGGGCTACCTCCGCTCTGCCTCAGGGAACCAGCCTCTGCCCCGCAAACAGCGACACAAATAAGACACAAAACATGCTTTTTCCCCCGGAACAACGCGAGGAGCACCAGCGGCGGCTCTGTGCCCACCGAAGGCTGAGGCTCGGGTCGACACGGGCTGATCAGAGCAGGTTACCCTGACCGCCGCCACGCCCGCTGGGCGGGCTCAGGCTCAGCCCGGCGCGGGCGGAACCCCACCGGCCCCGGCCCCGCCTGTGCCCCGCCCGCCCCGGGCGGGTCCCGCCCGCCCCTCCGCAGCGCGGCCCCGCCGCTTCTCCGCCTCCTGCGTGCCGCCGACATGGCGGAGCTGGAGGTGGGGCAGCACTGCGGGGTGCCCGAGTGCCGCCAGCTCGGTAAGGAGAGCGCGGCGGGTCCCGGCGGTGACGGGGATGGTGGGTTGGGGACAGTGCGGAGTTGCGAGGGGTCGAGGGGTGCCCCCCCATCGGGGAGTCCTCTGTGCTGCTGCAGCCCAGCGCCTGTCACCTCGGTTGTGTCACTGGGTGGTTCATAGCCCGCTTGCCCCTTCTCACGCTTGCTGCCTTCAGTGATCTCGGAGAGTGTGACTGGAAGTGCAACAGCTCGGGAAGAAGCAGCAGAACCGCCTGTACCGAAAGCTTTCTGAGGGACCACTCAGATGAAGGGATCGAGATGATCGTGACCTGCGTTGTATGGTCCAGTTGTGTGGTGGTCTGTCAACATAAAAAAAAGGAATGGAGAAGCAGAGTAGTGGGCTGGACGTGGCATTTGCTGCCATTAATGACGTTCGGCAGACAGTGAAGTGATTTTATGTGTAAGAATTTATGTGGTAGCCAGGGGATATGTACAGATGCTTAGGAAGTGTGTGCAATTTTAATCACCCAAGGATAGTATGTACGATACGATGTGAAGACTGGGCAGGATCATTATGACTGTCCAGTAGAGGAGATGCTCTCCCTTCTAAAGAGCCAGCATCTCCTCCAGTTGGCAGCCCATAAAAAAAAATGTAAATTGTCCACTGTCAGAAAACAGTGTTCTGAGTGGTCTTGCAATAAATTCAGTTTTTAAAATAACTAGTAATTTTGATGGGTAGCCATATGTTCCAGTGTCATAGCTTGATATGGAAAAAAATTTGAATTTAAAGCCTAATTCCAACTTCTGAAATGAACATAAGTATAATTTACCTGCTCATATGTTTTTGTGTAATAATAATTAGGGGAGTTAACAAAAGCCACTTTTAGCTAAAGTGTAGATGCAGTTGCTAAGTATTCTTGTAAATATACCTACCCTGTGATGTTGGCAAACAAAAGTTAATAATGTGAAAATTAAGCTAGAAACTATTACCAAAACAAACAACCATGTTGTCATAACTGAAAACAAATCTTTTCATTTCAGATTTTCTTCCCTTTGTATGTGATGGCTGTTCAGGTGTCTTTTGGTAAGTTCGTAGAATCACAAGAGTGAAAGGGTCCCACAGGAGTCAACGAGTCCAACTCCCTACTCCTCCCAGGATTAAAACTAAAGCATATGACTAAGTGTCATTCAGACAATCCTTGAACTCCAACAGGCTTGGTGCCATGACCATTTTCCAGTGCCCAACCACCCTCTCTAAGAACCTTTTCCTAATGTTCAGCCTGAACTTCCTGTGACACAGCCTCTTTCCATTTCCTCATGTTGTATGCTGCTCACCAGGATTTCCTCATCCCAGGTGAAGAATCCTCCACTTGCTGTCATTAAAGTTCATACAGTTGGTGACTGCCCAATTCTCTAGTCTATCAAGAATCTCTCTCTGTGACTTCTCCACTCTCAAGGGAGTTGACAGCTCTTCCTGGTTTAGAATGGTTGGCAGCCATAACATGTATCCAGATCATTTATAAAAATATTAAAGAGCACTGGCACTAAAATGGAGCCCTGGGGAACTCCAGTGTCCACCAGATTGAAGCAATTGCATTAACTGTGACTCTCTGAGCCCAAACCATCAGCCATTTGCTCACCCATCGTGCTACAGATTTGTCTAGCTGTGTGCTGGACCTTTTGTCCAGAAGACCACTCTGAGAGACAGTGTCAAAAGCTTTGCTAAAATTCAAACCACCACATTGGCTGGTTTCCCAGTGTCATATAAATGGGTGACCTTGTCACAAAAGGAGATGGCTGATTATGTTTTTCTCTTGAAAAAATTTTGATATTTCTTGCAAGGTGGAAATCGAGGCCTGCACTTTGATTTACAGTTCAGATTAGCAGAGGGCAGCTGAGAGAAACTCAGAGATTGGGGGCAGTTTTTGCTTCTAACATATCAGAAGCCTTCAAGGGATTTCTGCAATTATGGAAGAAATTTGAAAATCAATTAAAACAGACAAGCTCTGGTTGCTTTGAACTCAACTCAAGTTAAGCATGCTAATGTCTTCATTCTCTTGAAATGGTTTGTTTATCTTGAAACATAAGTTCCAAAAACGAAACGTTTTACATTCTGAGAAGGAATATGATCTATCCATTCAAGAAGTGAAATGCATAGGATAGAACAAACTTTGGAGAAGATTCATTATCTAATTGAAGTTTTTCCATGCTAAAACTTGTCAGATTACTCTTTAAACACTTAAATGTTTTCACATGTAAGTTTTTTTTCCCGGTATGTTGGTAACAGTGTGATATTTTCTTCTTTTTCCACAAAGCCTTCAGCACAGGAGCCGAGATGCTCATGGGTGTTCTGAGGTAATCTAATAAATATGTGGCAGCCTTACATTAAAATTCCATGCAATTTAGCTGTTTGTTTTCAGACTAGATGAATGCATATGGTATATAAGTATGAATTATTTAACTGAGAATGTAAAAGGCTTAAAAAAATGAATCTACTCTTTTTATTCCTGTAAGAAGTAAATTGACATTGAGTAGGATGACAGTTCTTGTTCAGCCTCTGAGCTAAACATAACCAGGGCAAAAATAGTAGAGACTAGCTGGACCAGGTTTGCCCATAGAATGGAGAGCTAGCACAGATCTTTGAGAAAGCTGGTTGAATTGGTTACTTATATCTGTAGTATCTGTTTATTTACACAAAATATTTTGTACATACTCCTAGGTGAATGTAAGAAACAACTATGTGAAACCTGATCAGCACAGATCTTACCCATGCTCATACAAGGACTGCAATGGAAAGGAGCTTTTGCCAGTTTTATGTCCTTTCTGTGAAAAACATTTTTGTCTCAGGTGAGTGGAACAGAGTGTTTAAACATCAGTATTCATTCACTAATGTATGGAAAATGCAATAGAAGTTTTACTTTGTTGTTTACAGACATCGTCATCAATCAGACCATGAATGTGAGAAGCTGGACACACCGAAACCTCGAATGGCTGCCACTCAGCAGCTTGTTCAAGATATTATAGGCAAGCACAGAGGCATATATATTATTTTTCTTATATTTTTTTCAGAACGCTATTTGAGTTTCATGACCTCCTTTGAGGGATCAGGTTTGACCAAATAAGAAGAAAGCATGGGAGTTCCCTGGTTGAATAGCCCTAAACTTACATGTCAACATTTAATACTGTTCATCTAAACTGAGCCAAAACAACAGTACAAGGAGAATCTCTAAAGAATAAATAGGGTGCAGGTTTCTTTCAGAATTGTTGTTTTGTCATCATTCTACAAGTACTATACTATAATGAATTGTACCTAGCCATTTTTATTTACATATTAATCCATGTGCAAACAATCCAGTTGTGTTGGATGTGCTTGTCAATCTGCTGGATCACACCTACACGATCAAGATGCCCAGAAAAGTCTGATTCTACCATGTAATGTTTCGTAGGTTTTAAACAAGCTGTAGGATGGGAAAGAGAATAAACAGCACTGCCCAGCTGGACAGTGGGGTTATGTGTAGAAAGGAGGACCTGAAGTGTTGCCATATGAATGCTGTGATGGCCACGTGTGTAGAAACTTCAGAATTTTTATCTATTTGGCTTTTGCAGCCTGTGTTTACATGGTGAAAATGTTCATCTACCTTTCAATGTAAAGGAATTCTGCTAGAACAAAATGCATGACTTTGGGAAAAAATGAACAGACACAAAAAGGGATGGGATCCTGAGCAATACAATGAGACCCAACAGACTAAGTGGGTCTATGTCATATAATATCCTCAGGAAACTGTCAGAATGATCACACTAACTGGAATAATATTGTTCTCAGATTCTAAAAAGAGTGACGAAGTGAAAAGCAAAAAACGTAAAGGAGCAAAAAACAGTGAGACAGCAGCAAAAGTGGCATTAATGAAGCTGAAAATGCACGCATGTGGGGACAAGTCCTTGCCTCAGGTCAGTGATGTTTGTTTTCAATAATTGAATGTTCAAAGGAACTGGAAAGATTTCTAAATTGTTTGACCTTCATGGAATTCCCTCAGCTTGATTTTGGATTTAATTTTGCAAGACCACAACCCCTTCAATGTACATTTCAGCCTGGTACCCAAAAGCAGTCTCACTAGTCTTATGTCTGTTATAAGATGTCTGTGTGGAGTTTGGAGCAGTGGAATCAAATTCTATTACTTCACAGCAGAAATGTGTTTGCCTGCCACATGGCTGTCACATAGCACTGCTGCGATAAATGGGGTCTTCTGGGGATTCTTAGCAGAAAGATGACAGCACTAAGTTTATTAAATCTTATTATTTTAGCAGAATTTGATGATCAGCAGAACATAGAATTCATTATTATACTATAACAGGATTTCTAGAATCACTGTAGCACAATTTTGTAAGTAGTGCAGCACAGAATTTTATAGCACATCTTAGCTTGTTGTTCCTTATAACCTGGACTCTTTGTGCAGATAGTGTCAAATCTTAATACTTGGCTAGCAGTATCAATATTTCAGGTCATCTAGCCCTGAAACATGTAATTGCTTGGTTTTCCCACCCAGACTGAATTCATATGTTTGGGCATTGCAGTGGACAATGTAAGTCTTATCATAAGAATGTGCTTTAAGTGTTTGAGTTTGCTAATTTTAAGAGTGTGGAGGGATGAGTATGCCAACTTAGATTGGTACCAAGATGTTTCAGGTGCAGCTTCAGCTACTCACCCAGAATTAGCATCTGAAGATTGAGAGTGTTGTATATACAAAACCATTTGTATGTGTTAAAAACCCATGTGAGAAATGATTTTCATAAACTGCATAACACAATTATCATCCCATTTGTGAAATGGGGAGGAAGGAGGTACAGATAACAGTCAGTACAATACAGTGGGTACTGTGATCATCTTCTTACAGCTGAGGTTTCTACGAAGGTAAAGTGATGATTCCTTGGGCATACTCCAGGTTTGTTCAGCCCAAAAAATCTGTCCAAGTTTTACTCATTTCCTGAAATGACAAGAAATTACCTATTCTTGGGAATTATCCAAATCTCTGTGAAGGTAAATGCAGTCCCCATCTAGAAACAGTTTTTCATGTGCCCTTTACTTTGGGAGTTAGTAAAGGGACCAACAGGTATTTTAAACTTCATAAGGGTAGTAGTTAATAAGAACATTGTCACCCTGAAAAAAAGAAGTCTGACAGTAGGGGGTTTATTAAACATTTTACTGGTTGGAGAGCTGGAAAATGAGCTTCTTCCACTGGACATCTGATGAGTGTCTGCTCGTTATTTTAAAATTCAAACAGCTTTAAGTACGGCTTTACCCCATTTTCCCATAAGGAAGCTTTGCCTAGAGCTCATTTTAGTGGACCATTCCGTTTCTTGACTGCACCATTACTTTGAGGACAGGTGGAACACAAAGGCAACTCCATGATCATCCTAGGATTCCTGGATTTTTTTTTTTCTTTTAAATGAATGTCATTGTCAGACTGCACAGCAGAGGGCATGGCAGTGTCAGCAAACTGTTGATTAAATCCTGCCAGAGTGGTAAGACCATCAGCTGTACCACAAGCAAAAGCTTTTCCTAAGTCTTCCTTATTTTATCTCCAGTAAGGGTGGAACACCACCCCTCGGGTGTTTAAGGGAGAATTCCAACATAATTAATTTGCCAAGTGAATCACGGGGTTTGTTTCCTGCCCACAATTAATTTGGTCCCCAGAAAAGGTGACCTCCTCTGTGAAGCCCTGGCATTGTGTCTTCATCAATTGTTTTAATTTTTGTCTTATTTTTCATGTTTTTCTAGACAGAAAGAATTTACTTTCAAGTATTTTTACCAAAAGGGAACAAAGAGAAAAGCAAACCCATGTTCTTCTGCAGTAAGTGGAGTATTGGCAAAGTGGTAGATTTTGCAGCTTCCTTAGCAAGCCTTAAAAATGACAACAACAAATCAACATCTCAAGTAAGTAAGCAATAACAAACATTTTCCAGGTTGTTGCATTTTGGTTTTAGTTTTTCTTTAGCTTTTTGTGCCTCTCCCACCCCAATTCTTTCATCTTAGATAGGCAAATCCTGGTCTTAATTTCTGTCCTATTTGTTTTACAGAAACTGAGATTATGCCATACTGCCTCTGGAGAAGCCTTGCCATTTGAGCACACACTGGAAACATGGCTATCTGATAAAGACTATCCACTGTACAATGGAGGGAATATAATTCTGGAGTATCTTCATAATGATGTTCTATTTATAGAAGATACAGAATCCTATTTTAGTTAGTCAATACATTTTCACCAAAAAAAAATCCAGTATTTTTTAGAAGCATGGTATTAAAGCAAGTCCAGTTTTCTTTTTAAAACACTGGTATGCCAGAATCTGTCTTCCATTGTAAAGACACAGTTCCCATCAATTTCTCAGTTGCTTGACTGACAGAAGAACTATGTCCCGAAAGAAAAATTACAATAACTAGTATTACAGATATTCACATTCTAGAATAAATTCTTGCTCTATTGAGCTGTATAATTAAAGAATTTTTTCTTAAATTTGCTATTTATTTTTGTGTAAGTAGCGGGGACAGTATGTCTTAATAAATAATGAAAATGTAAACTTGCATTATGACAGTTTTCTGAAGGAAAGAAACATATTACGTTAATGCAGCATCTTTTCTACATCTACAAGAACAGATTTGATGGCATTTGGAAACCAGCACTGTCCATACACCAGGTTCACCTTTTCTTGTAATGGTTTAATGACATTTAGGAGGAAAGCTTTATGAAACAGAAGTAAATTCACTCAGGTGTCTTCCTGATTGTAAATCTTATTGTGTGATTAGGTGGGGGATAAAAGATCTCAGTAAGCCTGCCAGTTAATTTTGCTTTACAGTACTCTTTACTGTAGTTTTAACATGACTTAGGTATGAATAAATTACTTTACTGGATATGGTGGGGATATCACACAAAGGAAGATGTTTCTGGTTTCCATGAAGGACAGGGTTTTCAGTGGCTGGGTATTTTGGAAATCTTTGTCTCCTGTCAGTGGAAAGTACAGGAGCATTTTTGTGCTTTACCCTGCCTGTCTCTCCAATTGTTACCTTGCTTTCTAGTACAAGAGGAATAGTTCCCTTTTCCCTTGTTACTTACTTTCCTCCCTTTCATCTGCAATTGTCTATTCATCTTTCTTTTAATCTTAGGCTGCTATTGTAAAGAATATGTATTAAGAGCCAACCAGCCTTGTGGAACCAGTGAACTGGGAAGAGCCCTAAACAGAACTTTTTTCCCACCCTGTTGCTATGAAGCAAGTGAAAAATACTTCTGAGCAACAGGGTCATTTTTTTAGCAGAAAATCTTCTGCTGAGTCTTTAAGAGTTTTCTACTTACACCCTTCCTCCTGCCCCTGATTTTTCTGCCATAGCATTTGCAGAAAAAATAACTGAAATAACTTGTTTGGGGATAAAGAGAAGATAGACTTGGGATGCAGGAAGTAAATCTTTGGGGTGACCTCAAAGGTTTTACCAGCATGGTTGCTTTCATCAATTGCCAGTAATGGCTAAGAGCTATCAGCCTGTAAATGACAGTACAAACATGGCAAGTCACAGCTGATAAGACTCCAAAAAGTTTTCACTATCATCTTATTCCAGGAATGTGTCTAGGATTGTACACAGAAGCTCATTCCAGGTAGTTTTCAGAAAGTGAGAAGCAAAACCAAATTAGTCTGACAGATAAATAATTGAGACGAGATGAAAACTCCACCCTAATCAATGGTACTAGGAACAAAAGCAGAAACTTTTCCAGACCTCTAGGATCTTGCATAAGTAAGAACTGCTCTCATTTTACCTGTTTAGATTCCAACATACCTTTAAACAAACAAAACAAAACACTAAGTAAACTCATTATCTTAGCACATTTTCATACAGAAAATTCAACAACTACATTTGAAAAAAAAAAAAAAAAACAAAATACTTTGGAGGAGTCAGTTTGCATTTGAAACCACTGTTAATTTTACAGGCCCGTGCTTAGAAGGTGCTGAATTGTTTCACTTCTAAGTTAATAAACAGAACTTAAACTACTAGTAGAAGTTAAAACAAAAAAAGTTAGAAAAAAAAAGAAAATACATGTAAAGTTATGCAAGCAGGAAAATGAATTTATCAAAAGAAATACTTCCTAATTTTACAACAAACAGTGCTTTCAGCCAAACTACAAAAATAGGTGAATATCAAGCGTTTTAGTTGTTCTAGCTGTAATTTTAGAGAATGCACAAGGTCAAGGATTTACAAACGTTTTGTGAGATGCTGTGGTAGCAGGTCCTGGCCTTTTTCTAGTTCAAACATTGCTGCAAGGTTGCCTGACGTGTTTGTAACATATGCAACAGCGTGGAAAGGGTTTTATTAACGCCGAGAGTTCAATTCTGCTTGGATACATGACATGTTAGATCAGCTGAGCAATATTGTACTAAACAAGAAATAATATATCACACTAAGAAAGCAGGCAGTAATTTCTCATACTTTTATTTTCACAATTTTCTTTTTATGTTTCTGTTTTGGAAAAGTATGCACCCTGGGGTGTGATCAGTCTGGTTTGCAGACTTTTTCTATCAGTATGTCACTTCTGGTCATCCAGTTTATCAGGTGACATATAAAAATACACCTTGCAGCTTACTTTTCCTCCTAGTAGCCTTATATATAAAATACAAAATTTAATTTCAGCTGGAATAGAAAATGTGGTTTGGATTAGGAAAATTCTTACACTTGTTAGGAGAGAACTTCAGGCATTCCTGTTTTACTTTTGCTGATTTTAAGGTGAATGCACAATTTGAAATCTCCTGTTAAACTCTTGCTGTAATGTTAAGTATACGTTAATGATGTAAAAAAAAAAAAAAAAAACCAAAACATTTTTCATAACATTCATGCAGACCTATATAGATTGTACTAAGGCATGTTCAGCTGCTTGCCTCAACAAAAACTCATCTGAGCCAAAGTGCCTCTTTTCAGTGGTTTGTGTGATTTTGGTAAAACCTTGTAAAGAATGATTTGCAAAATAATCAATAAAACCACAACTTATCATCTCTGTAGTTCTTTAATGACGGTGAATACTTTAAAAAGCAGGCTTATTCTTGTTTATGAGATGGGAAGGAGGAAATGTGGAATTGCACAGTGACTTGCCCCACACAACAGATTCAGTGAGAATGGAAACTGTTTGTCAGTGATGTGGAAAGGACAAAACTAACCCCCTTTGGCCTAGCTGTGCATTAAGTTGGCACTGGGGCAATAGGGTAAGACTGCTTCTTTTGGTGTGGTAGACTTTTTATGATTATTTTAAGCGTAAAGCAAATTGCAACCCTTGCCTCATTTAGCCACATCACCATTTTACATAGGACAGTGAGTAATCAGCTGCAATTTGTAAGGACAAAACAAGCCCACAGTGTTTTGCCTTTACCTGACGGCAGAAAATAGGCTCAAAAGACCACAGGGGAAAAAAAAAAAGAAACTGGTATCAGTCAGGCTTAGGAGGTTTTTTTCTTCTGTATGATTTTAACTAATATTAAAGATGCTTCAGTTGCACTGCAAATTGCTTTAAGAATTTCGTTGACTCTGTGAACTCGCCCTCCAGGAGCGTTCTGAGGCACTGACACAGGTTCCCACAGATGATGTGGATGCCACCCCAGGAAGGGAGCAAGGCCGGCTGGATGGGGCTCTGAACAACCGGCTCTAGTGGAAGGTATCCCTGGCCACGGCAGAGGGGCTGCTTTAGAGCTCCTTCCAACCCAAACCATCCTTTCAATTCTCTGATAAATTTCAATCGCGTGCTCCATGGGAGAGCATTTACGGTATCTCCGCCGTGCCACGTCCAATTACTAACAAGAAGTCTCCATCCAAGTCTAATTTCAACACTTCCCCGCTAAATTCTGGCAGCGCCGGCGCCGAGGCGGCCCCTCCGGCCGGGCTCCCTCACGCGCAGGCGCGGGCGCCCCCGAGCGGCGGCGGCGGCGGCGGAGGCGGGCCCGCGGCCTCGCGCGCGGCGCCTGCGCCTGGGCGGGAGCGGCGGCGCCATTTCGGGCGCCGTGAGGGGCTGCGCGTCCTGCGGCGCTCGGGACGCGTCCTGCAGCCCGGGGCGGGGCCTGTGCGCAGCTGCTTCCTCTTTTGAACAGCACCTAAACAGGGGAAGGAAAAAACTTCGAGTTTGTAGAAAAAAAAGGAAGAAAACAAGGCATAATAATTTTTAGCATTAATCTCTCCTCTTGCTAGGCTCTTTATCTCGGGAAAGATGGCAGATCCCTGGCAAGAATGTATGGATTATGCAGTTGGTTTAGCAAGGAAAGCTGGGGAGGTATGTATAAGCTCTTTATAAATAATAAGGTGATTTATTGAGTCTAATATGTATATAGCTTTGGAAGGAGGTTGGTGCTGGAATTTCTTTTGAAGAGTGTTTTATCAAACACCTAAATGGACAGAATAGTTTGTGATGTTCAAGTGCAAGGTTAGAGTGTCTTTTTATGTTTGGAACTCGGTTAACTTAAGAAAACAACTTTTCTTTATCTTGGAGTCCATTTAAAGACTAAGAGTAACTTGTTCCCTAAGTTTGATTTAAAAAATAAAATTCAGAATTGTAGTTAACAAAGAGCATTTTGATTTTCACCCTTAAACTACTCTTGTCTGCCTTATTTTACCACCTGAAAGCTGGTGACAGTCTTTTCTTGTGAACGCCTCAATCAGCTTTGTACTTTGAACATCTCAATCAGCTTTGAGCCTTGTTGATAGCACTCAATACCATATTGTGTTCTCTCCATCCTTGGAAGTGTCCAAGGCCAGGCTGGACCGAGCTCTAAGTCTGGTCTAGTGAAAGGTGTCCCTGCCCATGGCAAGAGAGCTGGAGCTAGATGGTCTTTTAAGCTCCTTCCAACCCAAACCGATCTATGTTTGCTTCTCTTAATGAAGACTGCTTTGCTTCTGAAAATAAGAACCATCCCTTACAGTGGTAATATTTTGCCATATGAGGTTTAAGGTGGCTTAGAACAAGAAAAGGTTTGTACATCTTGTCAAAGCTTTAGCACGCGTGGTTACCAAATGTTTTGGTTCTTAGTAGCTCTTAGTACATTTGAAGGCTGTGGCAACCAGTCAAGATGGCACATGTAATAATTCAGTCCCCTGGAGCTGCAAAGTCTGTGGAACATTTTCTCTGCAACAACCTCATTAAAGTCTTCCCTCAGAAAATCTTTCTGAGTTACAGTAAAATAATTCTATGGGCTGTGAGGCATGGGTTCTTGCTTATAAATGCAGGGTCTGGCTAAAAATTCCTGACTTGAGCTCAGTGTTAGGTGTTTTATTCAACTCTGATATTTAAATTTATAAATCTAAAACTTGTCCTTACAAAATGGACTCCAGTCTCATCTACCTGGAGATCTTCCTTTTGTACTTAGATTTAAAGCCATGTAAAACTCTGTAGGGACTAGAGATGCAAGTTCCAGCTCCTGCAGTTAAATCCAGATTATGTCACTGCTTGTGTTTTGTCTGTGCACTACAGAAAATGACTGTAAAAATTATGCTTCAGTTTTTTTGAAAACTAGTATTTCCCATATTGTTAACAGTGCAAGATTTTTTTCTATTTGTTTTT